AACACAATGTGGGTGAGCACTTTGCAAAAAGGCAAGTTTGCCTGTGTAAAACTGGCATAAATTTCAGGCAGAAGAGGAAGAGGTTCTGTAATTCTGAGAACAGTTCACCCATAAAAAATCATTGTGGTTATTGTGGGGTTTTTGGTTTGGCAATACAATCTGTATAAAAAATTCCTCTTATTTAAGACATAATCCAGATTAGGATTTTGCTGTCTTTATGTAAAGCAAAAGCTATTCTGCCTGCTGTTCTTACTGTTCATCCCATCCAGTTCTTTTCAGAATCCTACAACTTTCTAAAATTATTTATCTGGTTTGGATTTTATTAACTGCTCAGCTACATGGAAACACAAACCTAACAGCGATTGCTGTCTTTCAAGTACTTGTTGGTATTTGCCTCTCTGATGTGCTTTATCAGCATCTGAACATGTGCTTTCACTGTTGCCTGTTCCCTGCTGCTTCCTTCGCTGTAATAACTTCTTCCTCTATGCTGCCTGACATTAAGAAATACTTCATTTGAGACCCCTGGGTTTCTAGCACTTCTTAGTGATGGTACGTACAAAACAAATACCAGCCTTTAGCTTTCCTTAGAGCAGTATTTTGAGTGGTCTCCTTGCCCTTAGTTCAGGTGCTTTCCAATCCTTAGCTAGTTGTCAGCCTTTATGTGGTGTTTTAAATGTGCAGCTGGATGTTTGTTTGCTGCATTTGAGATGAAGTTTAAATTTTAAATGAGGCAGATTGTAATCTGAATTTCTGTCTGGACCTTGTGGTGTTTTTCTTGGATGAGGACTTTAGTTTTCTCCTCTTTGTGCACAATGATACAATTGATCAGCTCACCAGAAGTACAGTATTTTCCCATCCTGTGATGCAAGAACAGAACAAAATTCTCCAAGCAGATGATGTCCTCATTTGTTGATCTCTCTCTCATGCAGCACTGATCAGTAACAACTTTTCCCTCAGTAGACTGAAATTTCATGTTCTCAGCAGGATGTTGTATCAACAAGTCTTGTGTTTGTCTGTTGAGCTCTCTTGCAGGACATTTACAATCAAATTCTTCTTACTTTCAAATGACAACACTTTCAAATTACCCTGGTTAATTTCATGGCTTGTGTAGGCACTGATTTTTAAGTGTGTTCATCTGGGTATAGGTTTCCTCTGGGTCTTACATGCATTGGATGTAATTGTGAATTATCCAGGCTGTCTACAAAACCACTTAAAAAAAACAAAGGAAGGGGTTTTTCTTGGTTTAGGAAGAGCATTCAAAATATTTGTACCTAACTGATAATTAAATTCTATATTGACTATGGAATTCTTTATTTCTGGATTGTCACACAGATTCTGTGTTTCCTTAAATTACAGTGGTTCTTGTTGACATTGCCCTCTCTTACTAGTGAGGATTGAGTTTATCAGCAGTAAGTTAACCTACTCTGAATTCACTTCTACATCTACCAGTCTGTAGTTACTGAAAAGACTTCTCTTTTATTTTTTCTCCTCTTTTCCCCATGGCTATTTCAGCCTTTTCAACCATTTTCCTTATTTTCAAAGGCTTACGCCTGAGGGATTAAGATCTACATTCGTTTAATACCAGGAATAAAGTGGAAGTTCCAGACTGCAAGGGTAAAACTTGAAGAAGGATCTTTGTAGAGATTAATATTTTCCTGAGCAATCTGCAAGCTGAATCGTGGTCTAATTAAATAGCACAGATTTAGTGAGTTTGTATTTAAACATTAGCAAACCCTAGAATGGGTAGAGCTGAAATGAGTTTGAATCTTTTCTGTAAATGGGAAGTTAAATTACCATAGTAATTTGATTAAATAATTTTTAAATCTTTCAAGCTAAATCACCATTTTAAAAAGAACAGTTTGAAGTCTTAATCACTGTTCGGAAGTGCCCCTCTCTGCTCTTTTTTCTTACCCCATTTTCTGTGACAAAATCTCTCTCCCAAGGCACAGCTTCCTAAACTGCTTCAAATGAACCTCTGTTTGGCAGTGGAGTGCTTGCATGAGGCCAGCAGAGAGCTGGCTGGTCACGTTCTTCCCAGCTACTGAATTGATTTCAAAGAAAGCAACAAATACATTAAGTGCTTTACTACTATTACTTTTCCATGTAAGCAATTGCTCTCTTTACTGGAGAAATGGTATACAATCTGCAACCCCTGCAAGGAGAGGATAAGATCCTTTGGTTTAAGATGTTGTCCACACAGAGACTTTGAGAGTGTGGAGTGTAATAGCTGTCCTAGAAGGCAGGTTTTGATTCA